TGCAAAGGTTAAGAGCAACAGAAAGGCTTCCAAAGGGGCCAGAGCAGCTAGAAGCATCACTGCTGAAGCATCCTAATCTAATAGAGGTCTATTCTATGAGAGATAATGAGGTTGCTATATGATTTGGCTCTGTTTTGGTGCTGGAACGCTTATGAGCCACCTCATTTTTGTTTTTCGCGATTATCTCAGCTTCGCGATTCTGCGAACTCCGAACTACGACAGACGGATGGTGGAGGTTTTTAGTGTGACTGGTCTTATTTGTTAGAGCGTTTTTGTAAAAATTGTGTGGGCTAAGCCAATCTTTCACTTTGGCTGTTTTTCTCCATTGGATTTGATTGGATTGCATTGGATTAGATTGGATTAGATTGGATTGCATTGAATTACAGTTTACTATACAAATAACAGTACTATTTGGAATCTAATTCAATCCAATTCAATGCAATCCAATCCAATGCAATCCAATTAAATGTATCTTCCGGCAAAAATACGAATTTCGTCTTTTTAACTGATTTTGGCGAGTCACACTCCATTACAATTCAGGGCTATTGCAAGATTTGCCCATCCCCCCACAGCAAACCCCAAAAAGATCTGGGGCCATCATTTCCAGCAATACCATACCATCAACCATGTCCTCTTCGTTCAGGCAAGATGATGATCAACTCTCTCCTGCTATCTCACAGGCAGAGGTATGGTCGTCTCCACCTGTAATCATTCAAATTGCTAACTCTCTCAAAGATGATGGAGAGAAAAAGGAAATCAATCTCATTCCCACACTTGGTCACAACACTCGCAATCGATCAGAGCCCAACATTGCTTCTGTGTACTGGCTTCCAAGGGAATTCTCTATCAATACTCCCGAGTTTCGGACCAAAACTCTTTCGCCATATTTTGCAGAAGCGTCTGGTGCTGCTGGCTTTGTTGTAAGAATTAAGGGCTACGAGAAAGCAAAATAAAGTGCTACCTTCATTTGTCAACGCGGATGATTTCATGTTCCAAAGAAAAAATCAACACCCAGAGAATCAAGCCAGGATCATCAGTGTGTGCCTAACACCCAGCGGCCTGTAAAAAATGTCAGTGTTCGCTGTCCATTCCTTTTTAAAGTATATTGGAGTGAATACAATAAACGATGGTTCCTGCCTCGCCAACAGAAAGGAAATTCCCAACACCATGGTCACACGCATTGTTCACCAGAAAATATCACCACTTTGACAACAAATCTTCCAGAGATCCAGCGATAAATTGGGCAAAATGTCATGGAGCAGCATGCTGCATGTGCTATCACACAACATGACAGTGAAACAATGGATGACACTTCCGATACCACTGATGAAGATGATGAAGATGATGCAGCTTTCCAAAATGGCGACCTTCGAGAAGCAGCAGAATTGGCCAGGCAAGATAGAATCAAAGCAACCCTAAGACTTCTGGGTGCTCTGTTTGCTAGTGTTTCTCCCCTTGTTGGGGACAAGTCAATTCAGTTGAGTCGAGTCACATGATGCGATGGGATACAGCTTACAATTCAGCTTTACAGCTTTATAAATTGCGGGCCTATTCTAGAAAATAATCAATAAC